ACTACAGGCGCCCGCCACCACGCCCGGCTAGTTTTTTGTATTTTTAGTAGAGACGGGGTTTCACCATGTTAGCCAGGATAGTCTCGATCTCCTGACCTCGTGATCCACCCGCCTCGGCCTCCCAAAGTGCTGGGATTACAGACTTGAGCCACCGCGCCTGGCCTTAAAAACTTTTTTGTAGAGACAAGGTCTTGCTTTGCTACCCAGGCTGGTCTTGAGCTCCTGGCCTCAAGCCATCCTCCCACCTCAACCTCCCAAAGCACTGAGATTACAGGCATGAGCCTCCATGCCTGGCCTTCTAATTGGCTTAGGTTTGTGATTCACAAATTGGGACAGCCTCCCATTCTATAAAATAGAGTAAGAGCTCTGATGAGCTGAGCGGAAGAGACTGGCTTTATAAGCAGAAAAGTGATGAAAAAAGCCAAAACAAAAAGCAGATTGGTCAGTTGACAGTTACTTTCCTTATAGGGTTAAAACAGAGGGCACTTCCTTATCATCCTGGGCCCCTTCTGATTGGTTGGTGTGAATCTCCTGTTTTTTGGAAAACTGACCAGTTTCAAAGTTCAATTTGATTACCTGACACTTAGCACAAGTGACTGCATTCTGGTTTGCTCTGGTCTTTTGAGGTCTAGTGCAGGAGCTTAGTCCAAAACAGTGGGCTTCCATGTATTTCATTTAATTTTTTAGTTGTTTTTTTTTTGAGACAGAGTCTCCGTCACCCAGGCTGGAGTGCGGTGGCATGATCTCGGCTCACTGTAATCTCCACCTCCCCAGTTCAAGTGATTCTCCTGCCTCAGCCTCCCAAGTAGCTAGGATTACAGGCATGGGTCACCACGCCTGGCTAATTTTTGCATTTGTAGTAGAGACGGGGTTTCACCATGTTGGCCAGACTGGTCTTGAACTCCAGACCTCAGGTGATCCACCCACTTCGGCTCCCCAAAGTGCTGGGATTACAGGTGTGAGCCATTGTGCCTGTCCTAATAATATGTTTATTTACTCAGCAAACCTTTTCAGGCACTGCTGAATGTTACACTGGTTCCCAAGAAAAGATCCTGAGACAGCACAGGTTAGGCCTCTCCTTCTGAGCTCATACTACCCCAGACAGGTGGGTACAGAGCTCTGAAGGACAATCAGTATCCACTCTGTGCACGTCTCCTAGAAATTTCCAGATAGGGCATTCAGGACCCCCGGCCCTGGCTTAAACGGAAGCCTGAGCAGCAGCTTCCCCAAACCCAAACCTGAGGAATAATGGGCTCAGCCTATGGTTGCTTCTTATCAGATAAACTCTTTCAGGTGGCTCCTCTCAGCAGTCATATTGGGTATGGATAATGTGAGTCTCCCTTTCACCAAAGAGAAACTTAGAGTTGGAGGGGTTCGTGGAGGACCTGGTAGGTCTGTTGAGAGAGAGCCAGGCCTTGGGACACCAAAGGACATGCTTCTGACCCTGCTGGTAAATGGCTTCCCTAATGAGGGGGTGGCCATAGGACTGGCCTCCTCAGGGACAAGTAGGTGTTCCGGGCGGGGGGCCTGGGCCCTACCCTCACATAGCCACCCTTCTCTCCTCAGCTGTCTGTGGGTTCCACTGCATTCCCTGGAGATCTGCTACTGCAGGCTTCTCGACACTGACATCACCTACTTGTCCCAGAGCCCTCATACCACTTGCCTGAAGAAGCTGGATCTGAGTGGCAACAACCTGTCCTACATGATCCCTAGGCCCTTGGGGACCCTGCTGAGGGAGGTCTCAGGGACACTGCAGCACTTAGACCTGAACCACTGCCGGCTGAAGGATGCCCACCTCAGTGCCCTCCTGCCCGCCCTGTGCCGCTGCTCCCACCTCAGTTCCCTGAGCCTCTCCGACAACCCCATCTCCAGTGCCTGCCTCCTGAGCCTGCTGGAGCACACAACAGGGCTGATGGAGCTGAAGCAGGTACTCTATCCCATCCCAGTCGACTGCTGCATGTACCTGCATGGCCTCTCCTGGGGTCCCGTGAACAAGGACAAGCTGTGCCAGTTGCAGGCTGAGATACAGAAGCAGCTGCAGGCCATGCAGCGGGCTGACATGCAGTGGAGCCCCCCGCTGCCCTTGCTTATGCAGCTGGTGCAGTTTGAATGAAGAGCAGGAGCCAGGCTCAGGGAACAGAAGTCAGAGAGGGCAGCTGGAATCACAGCTGGGGCCACATGTTGTTTGCAAGGAACATAAAATAAACTTCCATGGAAACTGTCTGGCGCTTTCTTCATTCCCCTTGCTCCCCTTTCCCAGTGCAAAGCCTGGCCTGTTTCACCTGTTCATTATCCAGCCACACGTTATCCAGGTGGCTCTACCGCCAGGTCACCAGAGACCCCAGAGGTCCAGCCCTCCCTGGCAAACACTTCCTCTTCTGGCCACTCATTCAGTTTCTCTTTGTCTTACGCTTCTGGATAGAATGAAGTGGGTCCTTAGCTGACTTCCCCACCTTTGGACATGAGCTGTACGCTGGAGTCGGAACAGCTCTGGGGGCTGTTGGGAGACTGGAAGGAAGCACATGCGTGGCACCAAACCCAGAGCACGCGGCCATCAGTCAGCTGATCACCATCGAGCACGTGCTGGGGCCAGGTGCTGCTGTCCTCAGACCAGGCATACATGGAGAGCATGGGTCGCAACCATTTAGGAAGTCCCTACAACAGGGCAAAGTCAGAAGAATCAGTGAGAGGAGCTGGGCACATTCCTCAGCCCCGGGCTCAAAACAAACAAGCCCCATACAAACACATCCCATCCTCCCATCCCACCACATATCGCCATGTATCTCTCAAACTTCCTGAGCCCAGTACAAACACCACCTGGAAAAGTCTCCGATAAGGAGGCAGCCGTTCAAAGTTTTACTGAAAGCGCGGGAACCAAAAGAATTCCTTTGTTCCCCTGTAACTTTCGGGCTATAAAAAGCAAACACTCGCATTGTTCGGGGCCCTCTTGTATGCTGTGTAATGGAGGGACCAAGTTCGAACTTGTCGTAAAGGTCCTTGCTTCTTGGCTTTGACTCTGGACTCTGGTGGTGTTCTTTGGGGAACAGAGGGTCTGGGCACAACATCAGGAGTGGCTGCTAAAGCAGGTCAGGGAAGGTGCCTCAGAGAGGAGGCCTTTGAGTCCAGTCCTGAATCTGTGGCAGAGATCTGGAGTCAGGCACCCTGGGAGGGGCCCGGCAACAACAGCGGCTGAGAACCGGGCCTGAGCCTGGCAGGAGAGGACGGGTCAGAGGTTCACAGGCCCAGGCCCCCAGCACCATGTAGGTGGAATACAGTCAAGGCTGATGTAGATGGAGACAGAAGACAGACACAGGGAGATTTATGAGTGAACAAGATATGTATAGGGGCTGCTTGGAAAGGCCTAGACCAAACTGACACACAGGCCCAGAGAAAGCCAGAGAATTACTGCTGGGTGGGAGAGGTTTACAGAACAGCCTTCAGTCCATTCTGCTAGCCCGCTTGTCACTTTCTGTTTATTTCCTGTCCTTGCTGAAGCTCTGCTGTAGGCATCCTGGTTCCAGCTATGTAACCCCTGGAACCAGAGATGGGTAAGAAAGCCTTACTTAGTGGAAGGGTCCTCAGTGCCTTGCTTGCTGAGTTCTTCTTCCATCCAGGCAAGGGAGCTTGCCTGCTCGCATGAGCCATCTCGCAGCAACCTCAGTGCCTCCCGAACTACCCTGACTCCAGGTTGTGATAGTACCCAGCAGATTCCTCATAGGATTCCTACAGAACAGCACGGTCCTTGTGCACCCACCTTCCTCTGTGTACCGCATCACGCTCAGAGGGCCAGCCCCGAAGCCATACAGTCATCTCCAGCAGTGTGGCCTGAGAATGGAGCGTGCTGATTTTTCACATTGTCCATTTAGGTAACAAGTACTTGCTAAGTGCCTCCCAGGTGACAGGTACTTTTGCAAGGGCAGAGGATGCAGCAGAAATAACTCAAAGTTCCTACCCTAGTGGAGCATGGGCTCCATGGAGATAAGCAAGCTGGCAGGTAAATGGCACGTTTTCAGGTTGGGAAAGGGCGAAACAAAGGGAGTGGGGCCCGCTGCTGAGGGGTGGAAAGGGAACTGTTTGCGATAAAGTACACACAAGGTCTGTTTTAGAGCAGAGACCTGAATGGAGGCAAAACCTCCAGGCAGAGGAACAGAAAAGCACAAATAGAGGAAGATCAAGATACAGAGAAATGCACTGGGGACTCGATGCACTGTGCCGTTACTTACTCTGCTGAAAAAAATCAGATGCTTCCCCAAACCCTGACTGGCTAATAGCCTCTGACCCACACAATGCGCCTTTCTACGATGCAGCCATGCAGGCATGTAACTGCAGCTGTTCCACATGTCACTATCAGAGTGTAAGATCAGATTGGATGAATGAAATCCCATTGCTTCCTGTAGGTACCTTCTGTTGACACATCTTTCCAGCAGTGTCAGGGCACAGGTGCTGCCATGACCTCAGACTTGCTTTCCTCCTTACTCTGCCCACTCACTTTCTCCTTGCCTGAGTCAGTATTGCTCTTTAGTCAGATATTGGAGGATGCTTGCTCCTGGAAGTATCTGTACCAAATTTCCCCAAGATCATAAGACCTTCCTCCTCCTGCACCCACTTGAGAGCTTGCTTGTAGGTGTCCTGCAGTCCAGGCTGAGGGACAAAACTCAGCCTCTGAGTCAGGGTTAGGAGAGCTGACTGTGATTTGCATCCACTATTTTGTGCCTCAGTTTCTTCGTCTATGAATTTAAGAATTTTGAATCACAAAGTTAATCATAGTCCCTACCTCACACCATTACGTGTATGTTGAATAAGTTACTTGTTTAGAAGGGTTACATGCTGAGAATAGTGCCTGGCATCTAGTAAATCCTCTTGGAAAAGAAGGGACTCTTCCAAGGTCCCATAGCAAAGTAGAGTGGTCAGAGGAACCTGGCTGGTAGGCTTGGTGGGAGGGTTCAGGGAAATGATCCCTGGAAAATCTTCAGGAGAGTGGTGGTCATGTGGGTCTTTTTCAGTAAGTCCTTCCCCATCTTGGTGTTGAGTGGACAGTCCTCTCCAGGGGATCCCTAGGAAGAAGCAGTAGGTGCACAGTGCACCAGCAAGTCCCACACAGGCCTCAGTCAAGAGAGGAAATGCAGGAAAGAGAAGAGGGAGAGTGGAAAAAGAAGGGAGGGAGGGAGAAAGCCAAACATTTCAGTAGGATTAGAGGAAAAGAATGGGTTGTCCGCTATTGCCCTGTAGAAGCAGGACTGTGGTGGATAGGGATCTCTGAGCCAGGGCCAGATGAACTGCTTTCCCAGATATTCCCTGCTTCCAACTCATCCTCCTGCCTCGGCCTGCACCACAGCCACTTCCACACACAAAGATAGCATGTGCCAGCTCCCTAGAAACAACCAAGGAAGCAGGTGGCACCTGCACCCCCAGAAACTACTCACACTATCACTATAGAGACACTGTGCACCCTGCAGCATTAGGGGTGTTGCTCATACTATTTGGCAAAGTCAGCTTGGAGCACATAGAAAGTTATTTGAGTAATGGATATGTGTATGGGTCTTTCAGTTAACCCCTGACTCTTGGTCATTGCAAACATGAAACCAACATGATTATCAAAGTAGTGGTGGCCACTACTTTGTTGACTGTCATACACTGTGCTGTGTGTTTTATATACATTTTCTGAGATAATTATCACAGATAACTAGAAAATAAGGCCCAAGAGAGCAGACTTTTTTTCTGTTTCATTCACCCTCGTATCCACAATGCCTGGCAATCAGTAGGTACCCAAAAAAATATTGGATGAGTATGAGAATAAAGGAAGATATGAGTGGGTAGATGTTTTCCAGCATGGTTATTGTGGCGAGCTCTGAGATGTTCTTTCTCTCATTTCCATTTATCTCATGGGCCTGTCTTGGGCTCTTGAGGCTTTGTACTAGCTGGTAACATTTTTATCTCCCCATTCTCTCCTCATCCTCCTTGACTTTTTTTTTTTTTTTTAAGGCAAGGTGTCACTCTGTCATCCTGGCTGGAGTGCAGTGGTGCAATCATAGGTCACTACAGCCTCAACCTCCTGGGAACAAGCCACCTTCTCACTTCAGCCTCCTGAGTAGCATGTGCCGCCATGCCCAGCTAATTTTTTTTATTTTTATTTTTTGTAGACAGGGTCTCACTATGTTAGGCTGGTCTCAAACTCCTGACCTCAAGTGATCCCCTCACCTTGGCCTCCAAAAGTGCTGGGATTACAGGCATGAGCCATCGTGCCTGGCCCAATATTCTTGTTTGTTTATTCTTCCACATGAAAGGCACATTCATTTAGTCATATCCCAAAATTACCACTACAACTACTTCTTCTTAAAATAAGAAAATATTATAAAGAATTGAAATTAACACCACTCATCATTCCAACAGTAATCTAACTTGCCTTTTATTTCACTGGGCAAAATAAAATTTATTATGGATATTGGCTTTGTGTTTATCACTATGATATCTTTCGATATTTTAGGAGAGGCAGGGAGGTAGCTTCTCCTGTGTAAATAATTCGCTTTTGCCACCATTTATTTACGTAGGTTTTTTGCTGATGTTCACAGAATATGCTGGCACCTTCTGGTTGTTCTTCAGTTGTTTCTTTTGTGAAGAAAGGCGTATAAAGACATGTTGATCCCAGCACTTTGGGAGGCCGAGACAGGCGGATCACAAGGTCAGGAGATCGAGACCATCCTGGCTAACATGGTGAAACCCCGTCTCTACAAAAAAAATACAAAAATCTAGCCGGGCGAGGTGGTGGGCACTTGTAGTCCCAGCTACTCGGGAGGCTGAGGCAGCAGAATGGCATAAACCCGGGAGGCGGAGCTTGCAGTGAGCTGAGATCCGGCCTCTGCACTCCAGCCTGGGCAACAGAGGGAGACTCTGTCTCAAAAAAAAAAAAAAAAAAAAGACATGTTGATGTCAGGCGTGGTGGCTCACACCTGTAATCCCAGCACTTTGGAAAGCTGAGGTGGGCGGATCACGAGGTCAGGAGTTCGAGACCAGACTGGCCAAGATGGTGAAACCCCATGTCTACTAAAAATTAAAAAAAATAACCAGGCGTGGTGGCGCACACCTGTAGTCCCAGCTACTCAGGAGGCTGAGGCAGGAGAATTGCTTGAACCCGGCAGGCAGAGGTTGCAGTGAGCCGAGATCGTGCCATTGCATTCCAGCCTGGGTGACAGAGCGAGACTCCGTCTCAAAGGAAAAAAACA